CCCGACTCTCCCCGTCTCAAAATGGGGTCTTTAACAGCAGTTTAGATTATTATCACATCATGCATGCATACATATATTTTTCCCTCATATGTACGGTGATGCAAAACGGTGATGTGTGCGTCCCCGCGTCACACCATCGCAGCCCAGTTCTGCTGATGGTGATAGTTTGTAAAACGCCCTGTCAGCGCCTATCGACCGAACTCATTAAACCACAGACCTCCAGTTTAAAGCTTAAACCCTCCGTTCAGTTTAATGAAACCAATGTTTCACCTGTTTGCTGACATGTGTGTGAACTAAGGGTTACGAGGCTGTGTTTAATAAAGCAACCATTCATTCAGCTGACCTCAGTCAGCTGTGGGTCACACACACACACACACACACACACACACACACACACACACACACACACACACACACACCTATCACTTCAAGGCGGTTACACACTGACTCCACAATCAGAATTGTCAGAAGAATATTACATTTACAATCGTGTAATATTACAATAAAAACAGACCTTTATATCTACAAGAAAGGTCGCCCCTGGCCCCGACGGACTCGCTCTGCTGACCTGATTAATCCCTCGCCTCTCTGCCATGTAACAGGTCTGTCATTTTGTTTGGGCTCCACATGACATCTTCCTTCTTCTCCCAGGGAGGTGATACCCCTGTGTGTTGGAACGTCATGTCCCAGACTTTGGAAACACTCCTCATTGTAAAGCAAACATAAACACACACCTCAGTGACACGTGAAGCAGGGAGCACAGTCGGGGTTTAAATGGAGGCCAGCTGGGGAAGGAATGCTTCTCGCAACTGCGACGATGGATGACGTTGCAGAGACCATTAAACACTCTTTTATTTGACTCTTTTACCCATATTGTTATCAATTATCACATAGTACCACAGGTTATTGCTCAAGTTTGATTGTAATTGGATGAAAGGGATTTGAATTTGGCTCTAAAAGCAGCACACATAGGCCACCTCGAAGCTGAACCTTTGAACCTTCTCCCTGTGAAACTCCCCTGTTGCTTACATACAACAAACACACACACACACACACACACAGAGCCACCTACATCGCAGCTCCAAACAGTCCTGCCGCCCTCCATCGCAGTTTATTTACCAGGCTTCACAGGCCTCAACCAAAGCAAGAGGCCACCCAACAAACGTGCACCAAACCTCCCCTCGGCATCCAGCTCAGCTGTTATGGCAGAAGACTGCTTGTTGATGTGAGGCCTGATACCCGTCCGACGCAAAGGTTGTCATATGATAACAGAAGTTGGTGACTTGGTGTTCAAAGGGGTGAGACCGTTATTGGATGTTCATAATGATACGTTTGTGCACAGTTCAGACCACCCAACCTGAGATGAATGAAAAGCACACATTCCTCTCCCCGAGCAATCATACGTTGATTATGCGTTTTGGGACTTTGAAGGTCGGTGTCAAGTTGGATTCACCAAACTCTCTTGAGTGCAGAAACTTGTCTGTACATCTCTTGATTCAGCCTGACGAACCCCACGTGTTTCGTAGGAGTTTGTTACATTTGATCATTAGCAGAGAGCACCATCCAAAATGTCCATATAAGGCTGCGTGTTCTGCTGCCTTTGTGGACGGGTTTCATCTACAGAAATGTTCAGAGGAAAAAAAGAGGTATTGGTGTACAGAAATAAAGGGGGAATGTTACACTGTCATGGCAACAGAGGCTGATGCAGGACAGCATCTGTTTCCTAACTGAAAAGTATTTCTATGGTGGATGAGACTGTGATTGAAGTGATACAGTCGTGGTCAGGGGGAAATTTCCCTTTTGTACACAAACTCTGATTCTGAATGACTTTATAGATGCAGCGTGTCGCCACATTGACACGAGGATCTCACTGCTCCGTGTGCTTGTTTTCCAGATGAGGAGACTCCTGGCCTGTACGGCTTTCTGCATGTGATCGTCCACTCCGCCAAAGGATTCAAGGAGTCAGCCAGTAAGTTGGCCAGAAACGGCATTTTTCCTTTTCTTTCTGCCTTTTTTTTCACCACACTCGTGCAGACACTCACACATGGCTGCTGTGCAGATACGAGCCTGCCAGCGAAACGCATGACCCAGTCCGTCATCGCAGTCTGCACATGCAGTTTCCGCCGTGCCACGGCCCAACGCCGAGACCGGCCAGATGGATGGATGGATGGAGTATCGGAGCATAGATGATAGGAGAGGGAGAGAAAGAGAGAGACTCAGAGGAGAAGTGAGGGCCACAGTGGAATTGCTGCGGTTGTTTTCATCTCAGCAGACATCATAAAAACACTCGAGGCGCATGAAAAGGAAGAGAGAGATCATTTTGAAACTGAACTGCTGGCAAAAATAATGCCTGTTGTCTCTGATATCGCATAACTCACACACAAGTGCTCCTTTGTCTAAGTGTGTGTGTGTGTGTGTGTGTGTGTGTGTGTGTGTGTGAGATGTTGGCAGGACCATGCAGACGTGTCGGTAGGGGACAGCTGCTGCTGCTGTACTTTTTATGCCCCGTTGCACCGGTTCAAATATCAAATATCTGGAAAAGAGACGGAGATGAAGAAATGTGATTTCCTCTGTTGCCATGACAGCCTTTGGAATATGAAAGCTTGCCTGCTAGAATTTCCCGGGTAATGGATTGGAAAGCCTTCTCCTCTGAAAGCCCGTTTGATCCTCGATGAAGCTGAGGGGGTTTAAAATGAAGGAAAGTGCGTTTGTGTGTACGTGGAAGTCTGGTCGTTCCACCGATACAGTTTGATGTCAGTGTGTCCAGTGAGGCGTATAGAGGCAGAGTGGGGCATTAAAGGTAGAGGGGGGTAGGTGTCGCTGTTGCCACTGATGATTGGGGGGGGGTATATGCAGGGTTTACACATGTTAAGATCCTGGGATCGCTCACACCACCCGCTTGTGCCAGGCGAAGAAAACAAACGAACCCTCCACTTCAATCCATCCAGCGAAAGGGTCGATTGATCTGCCGATGACATGAGGGAGGCAGTAAAACAGCATGGACGTCCCACAGTATTTAATGAAATTATAATCCGACAGGTAAAAGAGCATAAGTGTGATTATTACGTGCAGCTGAAGCTTCAGAATCAACTGCATAAATCCATCGAGAGGAAAGGAGACGATGTTAGTGAGTCTAGTCACACTCGCCATAATGAATTGTAATTTATGCTTCAGTTCAGTTTACACAAAACACCGCTCTACGTCTCCCACTGTTTTTCTATTCAGCTGTGCTCGAAACGTTGCTCTGCAATAGAGTCGCATGCCGCTGCACCCACAAGTGCACCTGTGTTTTTAGGTTAGGAATTTGCTGTGTGGGTGCTTAAGTGTTTGTGTATTGGTGGGAGTGTACTGGCTGCAGCCACGATGCTGAAACAAGCAAGTTTACCCCGATCACCGCCACAGCTGTTCATCGGCAATTAAACATTTAATGCAAAGTGTAAAGAGTTTATTGACCCAATTATCATGCAATTAATACATTTTATGAATACAAACTTTTTTCACTTTTACCCACTTACTGCATTTTAATTGTTCTGATAAATTACTCAATTGTCTTGTATTGCTTAATTAGTCACATCAGCATTGCATCGTCTGGTTTGAAATAGTGATGAATTCTTTTGAGGTTGGTTCACTTATAAAGATCACACACCATATTTTGACAAATGTCTCGTCCTCAGTGTCCTAAAAACATTTCTCATTGAAAAGCCTGACTTCTGATTGCATTGACTGTCACAGTTATGACACAGTTGTGTCAGCAGCACGCTGTTTTTACACCTTTCACAGACAGAGTGATGTTTGTAATATCTTTTAAATATCCCCGTAGAGTCCTGCTTATGAAACCCATCAAGTGCTGGCATACATTTTCTCATATACAGATGTTTTAAAACGACTGTCCTCGCTGATGGGAGACATTGTCCTCAAAATGGAGAGTCTGCTGCCTCCGTAATCCCCTCCATTCCCACAAATTACTAAAATGACACCGTCTCCTCCAGATGTAGCATAATAATGGGATCAAATGTGCCTTTTAATGTAGATCTTGTACGGCCATGTTGTTGTGTAATTCAGCCCTGTGTGTGTGTGTGTGTGTGTGTTCAATGTGGTTTCAGTTGTACTGCTGAAGTCTCCTTCCTTGTCTCTGTTTTTTAACGTTTCTCATTGTGTTAATCTCCCCTGCAAGCCATTCTGGACAAGAACTTTGAGAGGATTTGCTGCTCTTTTGCATATGTGTGTGTGTGTGTGTGTGTGTGTGTGTGTGTGTGTGTGTGTGTGT